GCTTCAATGAAATGGGATATCGGCCGACATGCACGATGCGGGAGCGTCTACTTACGGCAATAGCATTGGTCACTACACCAATCACTGTAGATCCGAGAGGCCAGTTGGAATCCAGAAGAAATCATCAGACGGGCACTGAGCACAATGTCATCAATCAATCATCAACAGCAGTACATCAGCCATGTGAACTGATGCTTCGCTGCCATACAACCATGAGGACCTATGAAATAAAGAGGAGGGAGAGAAGGGGGACTTAGCTGAAAACCTTAATACTATAAGCAAACATTCAGGGTAAAGGTGCCTACACCTTGTGTAGACAACATACCGTCACAAACAGTTGGCTATCGTGTAAAGATAAGAAGGCATCGGCGAGACAGCTTCCTTGCGGTTTTCACTCTCACGCGTCATAATCAGCCATTACCTCGCAGATAACTCAGCACCAAACACATTTTAAACAGGCAATCCGATTAGGAGACGGCAGCAAACGCGCCACTGGTGTCGGTTGCGAGTCATGTCCTGTAAAGTCTCATATCACCACCTAGTACTCGCCTACGCACATCATCGTTGCGGACACGCTAGTGCCATCCGACACCAGCAACGCTTCGCAGACAACGATAATCAAAGACTTGAAGGTGCCTCAGATCTTCAGACCGAAGGGGCCAAGTCACACTACCATAGAGCAGAACGGCCCTCACTGTGGCCTTGTATACCCGGCCTTTCAGACGGAGGGAAACTCCCTTCTGTTGCCAAAGATGCTGCAGGTTCAAGAAGGTAGCCCTGGCTTTCGCAATGCGTGATCTGACGTCAGTTTCTCTGTGCCCATCGTTGCTGATGCAGCTGCCAAGATAAGTGAATTGATCAACCACTTCGAGTTCCTTGTTAGCAAGCGTCAAGGGGTCATCAAGTGGCTGGTGGTCCTGCAACAACACTTTGTACTTTGAGGGAGCGAAGTGAATACCACATAATGGGACCACTCTGGACAGGCTATTCAGGGTTGATTGGGCCGCCCCAACATCGTCGAAAAGCAAGACGATACCGTCCGCATAATCTAGGTCAACTAACCTATCATCAGGCAGCACTTCAACGCCTACATCGTGAGATCCCGCAAGGGAACACTCCATGATAGAATCCACAACGAAATTGAACAAAAATGGGGAAATCGGACAACCCTGACGGACGCCACTTGTGGTCGGAAAGCTATCCGACAGGACACCGTAGACCCTGACGCGGCCTGTAGTGTTCGAGTATAGAGCACGTAGGATGTTAATTTATTTTGTGGGAACACCTTTCCGCGCAAGTATTTCAAATAGAAGCGATCGATCGACTGAATCGAACGCGCTCTTGAAATCGAGGAACACAGCTACTGTCGGTTTGCGGTATGCGTGGCGCTGCTCTAGCACCTGCCGCAAAGTGAATATATGGTCTATACAGTCACGTCCTGGGTGGAAACCGGCCTGCTCTTCCCTAATCCGAGTTTCCCGTTCCGCAGTGAGGCGACGAACGATAATCGAGGCCAATAATTTTGTCACAACTGGCGTTAGGCATAATGTAACTTAGTCGAAATATTAGGCGCGAACTAAAGCGAAGCATGCGTGCCGACAAGGAAGCCTAGTGGACTAGTAGGACTCAATAAATCACAGTAGCAAGAAAAGCAAGCAATAATCGCAAGCTTTTCCAACTGATCTGTACCAATGGTTCCTGTAAATCATGCGTCAGTGAAACAATAGAAGACAGTGCGGGTGCACTCATTCACAATAAGGAATGCCGTGTGGCTGGTTTGGCGGAACAGTTTCGAGATCATTTCTGTTAGCCCCCTGCTCCTGTAGCTCTTCCCACTCAAGTGGTGCAGGCTGAGACATGGGTTCGATCCTCAGTATGGGGCCGAGGGAGTGCGCACCATTGACGAGCCCCAATAGGGCGAAATGCGTCTGGTACTTTTCCGGACTAGGCTGTGCCATGTAGATCGAGAGTTACTGGGACGAAAAATCTTAAAATGGCAATTAAAATCCTCTTACTCATTAGTAACATCCAACAATCGTTTTAGATCCTATGGTCCTGATTTCGTTGAACTCGCACCGGTTACGGATGGTGGTGAGGTCCTCTGCAAAGCACTTACTATGTTCGAACAGGCCCGAAGGAAGAGACCATCTCATCTAACTAAAGTGAGTCGATGGTAGTGAAAAGTTACAAGAGAAGCAGTCGCATCGACTGTGCTAACCAATGGTGATAAAAGTACTGGCATCAATTCTCATTCGTCGCTCGACTGTAGAACGCGAGCCCTAGAGTAGGGAAGATCAGTCAGGTTGCTGATCAGAACCGGGTTGTATCGACCATGCATTCACTCCGCGGCAGGTCCTAGAGCAGCGCCACACTTACTGTGGGCCTACAATACCTGCGTTCCTCGACTTCAAGGGTGCATCCGACTCAGTCGATCAATCCATTCTTTTCACGATAGTTGCGCAGAAAGGCGTTCCCATGAAATATGTGAACATTTTAAGTGCCCTATACTCGATCACAACAGGCCATGTCAAGGTATACGGTGACTTGTCGGATATCTCTCTGACAACAAGTAGTGTTCTTCAGGGTTGTCCAATTTCCCCATTTTTGTTCCACTACTTCGTGGACTGCATCATGGAATATTCCTTTGCGGGGCCTCACGATGAAGACGCTGAGGTCCTGACTAGTGAACAGCTAGTTGGCCTTGATTATGCGGACGATATTGACTTGCTTTTCGACGATGTTGTGGGGACCCAATGAACCCTGAATAACCAATCTAGAGTGGTCCCATCATTTGGCATGCGCTTCGTACCTTCAACGTGCAGTGTTCTTACAGGATACCTACTTGATGACCCTTGACCCTGGATAGCGAAGAACTCGAGGTATTGACCAATGCACTTACGTTGGCAGCTGCATCAGCAACGATGGGTGCATAATCAGTGAAGTCAGTTCACGTATTGCAAAAACTAGTATTGTCTTCTTAAATCTGTGACATCAGAAAGGGGTTTCCCTCTGCCTGTAAGACCGTGTTTACAAGGCCACAATGAAAGCCATCCAACTCTATTTACTTTGACCCTTAGGTTAGAGGACTTGCGGCGTTTTCAAGCATCTGATCATTGTTGTCTGCAAAAGCATCGCTGGTGTCGGATGGCAGCAGCGTGTCCGCAACGATGATGCGCTAAGGAGTGATAATCATGCTAGTTCCTTGGAACAATAGATAGCTATGAATAAGTTGCGTTGGCTTAGGCACGTACTACGTATGCCAGGTCACAGCTTACCGAGGAGGACGTTGTTTTGTTAGCCACATGTAGGATGGCTCAAAACCCGAGGTGGACAAAAATTAACTTGGCAGTGGGAAATGAAGTCAGTGGCGACCAAACTCGGTGTCGTTGGTCTGTCCTGCTTCCCAGGCTGGAGTCCCTGTGACCCGCCTTGTGCGTAGCTTGAGACGTTAGATGACATAGCTCGCAGTCGACACCAGTGGCGTGTCTGTTGTCGTCTCCTAGTCGGACTGCCTGTTTAAAGTGTGTTTGCTGCTGTTATCTACGGGTTAATGGCTGATTATGACGTGGTGCAGTGTAAGCCGCAAGAAAGCTGTCTCGCTGATGCCACCTAGTGTTTGCACGACAGCCAGGCGTTTGTGAAAGCATACTTTTGATACAAGGTGTAGGCACTTTGACCCTATGTGTTTGTTTAGGACATTAAGTTTTTCCGGTGAATCCCCCTTTCTCTCCTTCTTATTATTATTCTTTTCGTAGGTCATCGTGGTTGTAGGGCTGTGGAGGATCAGTTCAAATGGCGAATGTACTGCCATTGATGATAATGATGAAACGAGTCGTTCAGATAAGAGAATCAGGCTTCTCCGTGTGAAGACAATGGGGGGTTTTTCTCGCAACCACTAACTTCAACGACTAGACGAGGCGTTCTACTACCTCGCGTCCTCCTTCATCAATGAAGGCTTTGTCTAAAATAGATTACATTGCGATCAGTTTCAGGGGGTGTGGTAAAATATGAGACTGTAGATCAGCTTGACACACTTTTTGGGATCTGATCCCGCACATGTCTATGCAAATATTTGCATACGACTCGGTGATATCAGTAACGGAGACACTGTAATCTAGACACGAACAGGCTAAGACCAGTCAACTCAACCGAAATAGCAACTTCCACTGGCAAACGAATTAGCCTGTGCAACATTCTCGGATATTGATCGCTACCGGAACTCCATGCAGAATAGAATACCAACTTCTGGCCAATCAGTCAGCGGGTTGACTCATCACCCTTAAAGTTGAATCGCCGCGCGCTCCCTGGCACTGCTTGACCGATACGGAACTCCCACCTAAAATCAGACCAGAATGAACCTCACTACACTGTCAGGCAGCAACTCAAACAAAGCCTTCGCGACGATCGGGAAATTCGATGGGCTCAAGGAGCTATGGAGATGGAGGCCTCGGATTTCATTGGAAATACTCGCAAGCAGTTTCACCTTATTCGGACCAATGACCACATCAGTGAAGCGAAGCGGACAAGTCACAAATCTCTATCTTGCAGAGTCGCGTAAAATGATGGATTGAACATCCCAAAACTCAAGCCACTTGATCCTCGTAATGTAACACATTTGAAAATGTGAAATTTTAGGATGTGCAGCGACACTTTTCAATCGGATTTGAGGCCAGCGGAAATGCATACACTTTGTTTGGTGAGTGTGTGAGTTGTATTAGGCGACATTATTGAAAGCTACAAATTACAAAGTTTGTTCTTTAAGGAGCACAAGAGTGGCAATCACGCAGGGAGGTTATGCAAGATCCACGGCTCCAAATAACCCAAAGGATGACCCGAAGGTGGTCACATTTACAAGGTGGTCATCGTTACTAGACGAATCAGATTGACTCCCTTGAGTGGTCAACCCGGGAACCAAACAATGAAATGGGTCCACAATCCAGTATGCCTGGCGGAAAGCTAAGGTTGGTTATGTATATCGATAGCCAACATACAAGACTCACTCTGATTCGGGGTGTACGCTACTCAAGAAGCGCTCGGAAGCATCCAAAAGCTGTTTCAACACATGCAAGCATTTCCGAAATTTGGAGAAGAACGGATGATGGCTAATGATACATAACGAAGTAAGTAAACGCTGTTCTTCCTTCGCTTCCGGTGCATCGGTGCTTATTCCACCAGAGGAGTAATTCGAACAAGACGTCTGCTGAAAAGATATGAATGTAATATGGCTGAAAGTAAGATAAACGTACAGCGAGCAGACAATACATTTAAGGGTATTATATCCCGGGCATAACGTACAAGGGCCTATGGAGTGGCTCAAGTAATTTCAGAAAACAAACTTGAGATCGTGACATAACAGCGGAGAGAATGCATTTGTGGGACGGAGATACCGATACAAGTTGTATACGGAGACGGATGGTAAGCAAAGTGAGTTTCTAGTTCTAAAGTTGGAGCCCAAAGGTAAAAAGAATGCCAGGCACATCCTTCTGAGGGGCAGCCAATCAGCTTACCTAAGTTTAAGTTGTTTGTTAACAAATATTATCAAAATATCCTAATTGTCTTGTTGGTGCCTGAATAACATGTCAATACGTCAGGCTAAATGATAACACAATTGCGAGCGAAATGGAACGCATTAACAACTAGACAGACTACACTAAGAACATGGTAGCAACATGGTACATGTTAAGGTACACGATATGGTACGACTTACAGGCGCTAAACTGGTGGATGCAAAATGTAGTCAATGCCACTATCATGAACTGCGTCATACGATATGGTCGAACTACTGTACTTACTGTAAGAGGACAGTAGATGTAGGGATGCGGACGAGGTGAATGACAGGAAAACTAGTAAAACGGAATCGACTCAATAGAGAACTCACATCAAGCAGCCAACAGATAAAGCAGGTAGAGATAAACTGCTTCCATTCATAGGAGTTAGGATATTACAGGAGTAGCATTTGAAACGAATGTTTACGTGGTTTTGTATTGCTGATGACATCGAGAGCATAACTATAAGATGGACTTCGTGCTACATAATACTAAGGCCAATGGAATGAAAAGCTGGATAGGATCCAGATTATGTAGCCGGCAACAACAAAGGCGAATTGAATCCAAATAGTATCAAGTTAGAGCGCTGGCCTATGTTCTGAAATATTCTAAAGCTCATTTGAACAGTGCAATAGTTGAGGTTACTGACTTCCAAAACCCACGATCCATAAAGCCAACATCAAGAAGGGGAAAAGTAGCCTTCAAAAACCAGCTGTGTGAATGAACGAAAGTACAACTGGTATCGTGCTTAATGTACAATAAATGGGGGCCATTTGTTCACATAACGTCGGACCTTCTGTTAGTGAATGAACTTCTGCTGTGACCTAAGTACCATTAAAGTATATTTCATCATAAAGCATAGAAATAATCATCAGATGGAAAAGACTAGCACCAATTGAAAGAAGTGAGCAATGGATGAAACAAGTGAACATAAAGATGAATGACTGACATGTTCCCAAGACCACCAGAGTGAAATTCAGGTGCAGCATTAGGAGAAGCAGGTCAGCAGGTCAGCGTCGTGATTCCGCGCATGTGTCCGATTCATCTACGATGGAGCAACACAGATTTTTATCGTCTCGCTCTCTATTCCCAGTATTCAGTAGTCCAGTGCAGCCATCATCTGTGGGGTCACCAGGACACAATATGTTGGCAATCCGATCATGTCACGAAGGCAATTCAAGGCGTTATTGCCATTTAGACAGAACGGTTTATGTCGAAGGGTTCCGCCCCAAAATCGCTTGATACCAATGTCAACAGTGCATCTTAGTAAGACCACCGTTTAAGAGTTCGTAAGCTTCGACCACGTATCAAGGTTACTACTCCAGCTGCAGACGACGTTCTTTATACACCTCAGAATGACGCAATGTTTCGAAGGGAATAGCCGTCGCCTGTTGTCCAGGAACCCTACGAGGTCGGATCCGGTAGTGGTATTTTGTTACAGTATCCTCAGTGTAAATTTATCTTCTTGGGACTTACAGACTTTTTGGAGGCATATACTTTCATTCTCTGATGAGATGCGTTTGGCTGATGGGATTTCCCATAAATACGTCTGCTCCTCCCTTACCTACTTATTGTATTCTAAATTAGCATGGATATGCGATTTAATGAGTGGTCACATTTCACACACGAGTGAGGTTTCAAGAAGAAGTGCGCAGTGAGAGAACTGACGGTTAAATAGAGGGAAGGTAAACAGGGTAGCGCTAGTTACATTGTGAATGTAATTATCTAACATGATGTATGAGGGCTGGTGTGACCTATGGCACAACAGCCATTTAAGAAAAGCATGGGACGCATAAATAGAAGTTCCTTAACAAAATACTGCGAGGGGTGTCTTAATGAAGGAATGCAGTAAAAGGTTTCAAGTAAGTGCGAAAAGTGCAACAATCCCACCTCGACTCTAAAGGCGATTTCGCAAAGGTGTTGATCCAAGATCGATATTGTGGAGTTCGGCTGGACGATTTTTGTCATCCAGCTAAATTTCGATATACTTTACAAGATTTCATATGATAAGAATCATCGAGATCTACACAATGATCTTTAATTTTCGAAGATTACATGGCCTTATTCTACAGATTTCGCACACTCGCGGCAGAACTCCCCCCCCACACACACATAACTTTGTTATATGTTGTCAATACATTGCACGCGAACCTATCACTGAGAAAGACCATGGACTCTCTTAACGCAAACACAAACATTTATAAAAGTTTCGTAGAAGGTAGAAGTCACGATTAAACTCCACACGAAAATCTGCCTCGACGGGGAATCGAACCCCGGTCCACGAATTTCCGGTCCGCTGCTCTACCACTGAGCTACCGAGGGCTGACGATTAGGTGCGGAATTTAACACGTGACTTCTGCTTGTCAGCCCTCGGTAGCTCAGTGGTAGAGCAACGGACTGGAAATTCGTGGACCGGGGTTCGATTCCCCGTCGAGGCAGATTTTCGTGTGGAGTTTAATCGTGACTTCTACCTTCTACGAAACTTACGTTACACACAAACATCCTTCAAACTTATAAAAGTACCTGTATAGATAAGGTGGTCATGCGTCTCGATTTCGGCGGGAAAGTCCCGCATTTCAAGCTATCGTGCCGCTTTCGTAGAAATGCTGGACAGGACGCACTAATGTCCCGTCTTGAAGTCGGAGAACTCAGAATGTCCCGCTTTGCGCATTTAGAATGTAGGTGAAAAAAACGGGACCAATCAGTGGACAGTGTTTCACTGATACAGATGCACGAAGTTCTACTGCAGCTAACGTTCCACTGAAACAGCCAAAATAACCTAAAAAAAATTAGGGTACTTAGAAATTCTAAGAAAGCACACTTAAAAGAGAAAGACCAAACAACATCAAGAAATTGAAAGGCTGGCGTCAGACGATAACGCAACAAAGCGTGACATCTCCCGTATATGCGAGTTAATCAACTTTACCTGTACTTCCCCCGTTGTCATCGACACTCAGATATCTCAAGTCCAACTCCCAAGAAGAAGAGAGCTATTCTGCAACATTCCTGTGAATTTAAGGGGTAGAATGTGATTACATCCACAAAACCACTAACGCTTCCGGGAGGAAATGGTATCCCCCTAGCTGTTATAAGAGTTGGTGGAGAAAACGTCCGTTGTTAAGAAACGTCTTCACAGTTTCGCCAACTACCGGCTGATCTCCAATTTAGTGGAAGCACTAATTCATAATGCCAAAGCACAAGGGTGGTCCGCGACATGACATGTTAAGCTACCACTACATAAATCACGCAGCTTTTGCTTCTAGAGATCGATAAAGAATATATAAGAACAATGTTTAATTACATGACTGAAGTTGAGCAATCCCTCACTAAATGACTTTCTTTCCAAGCGCTCCCGCGTTACCGAAAAGCGACAATTCTTAGACCACGTTACAACTATCATCATTAGCATTATACATGATAGCTTCAGGTGGAAAACACATAACCTATTGTGCCGAAATACAAAAGAAAAAAACATGAGACAGAGGCACGTCGGCTGTGCCACCGGTAGCGAAAAGACATCGTTCTGGAGAGCTAAGAGCCGGTAGACGTGCCACAAAAAGGAGTTATAAATGAAGGGCGAGGCTAAGTGGGACGCGGAGGAACAAAGAAACCTACCACACAAACGCCATTGAGGTCGGCTTCTAGCCATGTCAACAAGTGTATCCAGCCGAAGGTGTTCATTGTCAGGGAGCCAAGAAGCTCCAACCGAGGCCAACTCCGAACTAAGGGCCTTCATTTTTCTCATCGCTTAGCCACCCCACCTTTTCTTCCATCCGCACCCCCGGGCGCGCAAACAACGCACGTTACGGGAGTCGATGGGCTGGCATGCGCAACACGTAGCCCAGCCATCGGAGCTTGGTACGTGAAATAACGGTGCTGAGCCATTCGCTTCTTCTTCCTGCGCCATAAACAAGGCGTCGAACACGCTCACTACGTTGTGAGTGACCAGGTCGCCAATCTATCGTTAATTTTCACACTGTGGATACCATAACACCAATTATGTGCGCAAATGGTCGCTCTCGCTAGGGGTCGTATACTGCCTTTCTATAAACATACAAATTTATTTATTTAGCCGGCGTACATATGCGAGAGAGCGGTCGGAGGACGCGTTCATAAAGAGGCTCACGTGAGATAGTAGTCAATCTATATACGCAACCTAGGCAAACAGCAAAGAGACGTGGTGGATTACTCAATACGCCATCGTCAGAGGAGCCGTGGTTTGAGAAAGAAAAGGTCAGAACAGCCCGTTGCAATGAAAAAGTAATTCAACAGAAGAGCGGATGGAACATAAGAACAGCAGGTGAGCAAGTCCGACGAAGTAAAAACTACATACGCAGCCCGTGTTGGTAGTGAATAGTCGAACTTAAAGGTGGATTGTGTACTAATAATTTACGGCAGAGGGTTCGAGTAAAAAGCGGATTGAACAGCGTAAAAATGCGAACAAAGAGTGACAAGCCAAACGAATGAACTTAGAAGAGGGAACAGAAGCAGATGGGGTGTTAGGTTTAGCATTAAAAAGATAAGTAGATGCACAAATAAAAGAAGGAAGTTTCTCTCGACGTGAAAGTGCGCTGAATTATTACGCGGGCTATTTTGTGCACCACGATCAGAGAAAATAACATCAGATTGGTTTAATACAAAAAGGAAACCACCACGAAGAACCTTACTTCGAAAGGCATGAAAGGTCTGTAATAGTTCAGGCATATTCCGAATCGGACCTTTCCTGAATCTTTATCCGTCAAAGTGAACACAAATGAAGTGGAGCCCTGGAAGTAAATAAGGTAAATGGACAAAATACCACATCGGAAAGGCTTTCTGGAACAATGACGCAGCCCTCGGGCTGACAGAAGTAAACAACATCTTTGGGTAACGCAAAATCTGCATGATCCGTAGGTGGAAAACAGCGGAGCAAAATTGGTTCAGGAACTAAATTCGTGTGGATTCGAGGGCTCGTACACCCGACTACCGCCAAATAATCACACAACCTTGGACAAAACATGCTGTATAAGGTATTCACGAAAGATGTAATCTTTCCTCACTGACATCACCGGTGGAGTTGCAATATCAGAATGAATGGATAGTTGCGCGTAGATAAAGGCTGAAAAGATATGGAAACGTCATACCGGAAGATCAAGAGACAACAACTACTGTGTACCAACACATTGTCCAACACACTTACCCAAGGAGAATGTGGGCTGGCCTAAATATACCAGTAAGGCAAGAGTGTTCTGGTGCCGCTCACCCCAGAAAATGCGCGCAAAACAAGTATCGTTTTCGAGTGGACTCAGATTGCTGAGATGTCTATATATCTTCGCATCAGTCTTTAAATAGACATCAAGCTAAGGAAAAACCATGCGGAACAAGATTAAAAAAGAGTACTACTGTCAGGAACAGAGAACAAACATTATTTGTTTTTGTTTTCACACGCCATTTTGTTCTCTTTTGTCATTTTGATTGACATTGCTCCAAGCACATTGTTCAAAACATTTAAATATACAGTACTTCCATTGATTGCGGCTTTGCGCCACATCACCGAGTTTGTCGAGCCATTGGCAGTCCTCATCTTTGGGGCCCCAACCAGGAAGACGTAGAGGGCCGACAATTGCGAGACAGGAGTTCAGCGATTTCATGGTTTGCCGCCAAGTGGTTGGATGACCACGCGTTCTCTTCCGATTCAATCCGTGCGAGCAAATAAGGCGCAGCGTGGTAAGTGCTCACGTGACATAGGTAGAACGTGGCCAAGCAATCTCAACTGACGTATTGAAATAAGGAGATCAAACGGAAGACTCATGTTTCCCAAGATGTGACACCGGACTTCATCGTTACGTGCTTCCACCACACAAGGGTTATCCGCCGCAAACATGTATTGTTGAAGGCTGAAAGCTTACGCATGTCATCCACACGAATCGGCTAGAACTCACTTCTGTACAACAGGGCCGCGAAGACAAGTGTTGTAGTCCCTCCTTTTAAGGAGTGGAATATGTCTCGACAACGCCACAAATGACCCAAGTTGGTAAATGTCGACCGGGCTTGGGTGATAAAGAGAGATATCTCTTTCACAATAGTGCCATCAGTAGAAATATAGCTTCCGAGGTAGACAAAGTTGTCCACAAGCTTTTTGGTCTTTCAATGGCAAATGAGGGGCAGAGGACTCCCAGTCCTGGAGTAACACTTTACACCTCAAAGTAGAAAAGTGCATGCCATACGTAGACGCTCCAATCACCAGACAGTTCAAAAAGAGCTGTACACTCTGTGAATCGTCAACGAACAGAGCGGTATCACCAGCATTATCTAAATCAGTCACGCGACTGCCAGAAGGTAAACATCAAGATTTTGAGAGCCTTCCAGAGATGTCAACAGGACGTCCTCAACTGCAAAGTTGAAGAGGAATGGAGACACACACCACCTGACACATGGAAGTAAAGCTCTTGAATGATGAAAGTGTACTTTTCGGGGCAACAGCAGTGCATCGATACTACGTAGCGGCGCTTCGCTGCCGTGCAGCCACCACCGGTCGCACGTGGGCTAAGGATGATGCGAACGTCGCCCTGCTCCTACGCAGGTTCGAACCCGCGTCGTCAGATTACAAGACAACCTTGTTACCTTTAGGCGACGGGGACTCTATTAGCAAACAGTGCTATAGAGCAGACCGATCGACTGAGTCAAATGCAACTGGAATGTCCAGGAGGACGACAATGGTTGGCCTGTGACAAAGATGGCGGTGTTCAAGGATTTGGCGCAGCTTATCCGCCAATGAGATTATGCACGGGGGAACACATAGACTATTCCAGCTGAATGAAGATAGTTGAGATGACATGTCGACCTGTGACTTGTGTGGAACTACTCAGATACTAGCCGCAAACGATGACATGTAAGGGGCGTGCCAAATACTAGAAGACGGAAGATCGGCTGGACTCAAAATGTATTGACAAGAGCTACAACAAAGCTACAAAAAACAGGTAAGCATCAATAGCAACGTTATACACGTTAGCTGGAGTGGAAAACACAAACTAGTTGACCCTCATCAAGAGCCAGCACCGGCTTGTTGCAGCATCAAACGTTAGGTGCAAAATACAGCGAAGTGTGATAGTGAGGACTTTCTTCTGAGACACCTAGACACTTAGAATAGTGCTTTGTTTGTGGTGTGCACACGTTTTTGTGTGTGACTAAAGAACCAACATTGTGGCTTTACACAGACGGATATTCCGCATTGATCGTTTTGGTTTTACTTACGATGAAGATGACAGATTGTAATCTTTCTCTCCTACTACAATGATTCTGTGGAAATTGACACGTTTCTGAGAAGGATAAGTAATTTTTTCTACGAAGTTGCGTTCGTTAGTTTCGTTCACGTGCTACAACCAGGGCAGAAGGTGGGGCTAGGATAGCGTAGTGAACATGAATCATTCAAGCTGTCTGTATTTTGAGACATTGGATTTTATTCTTGTTTATATCTTCCGATCGTCGTTTTGTTTAACTGATTGCATGTACCGATCACTTGCTCCTCCTGAAGAATGTTGCAGCGTTCACACTAGTTGTCTTCTCGGATCGCTATGGTGTCCAAGTGCTCGACCTGTGATAAAGGTGCCCAGTCCCGCTCAAAGACAGCCCAGTGATCGCTTTGTGATAAGTAGATACACATCGCTTGCTGTAATATTTGCCAAGATCTGTAAGCACTGGTCGAGCTGACTACCACAGCAACTACCTTATTCTCCTGTGAACACTGCTGTACCTTGGTAAATGACCGATGACTTCTCATTTGGCTACCAACACTGAATCCTGGTTCCGCTTTTCCCTATGGTGAAGTACAAGTCTCGGCTGATTCGTTGTTGTCTTCGTGCTCTATGCCCTCAACCCCATCTGACCCAGTTATACCTACGGGTAGGAGGAACCGAGCTTCATCTTCTGCGCTTTCGGAGCTACTGCTGCCTGTCTACTGCGATGTACTCATGACTAGAACGTATGCAGCGGTGGAGAAAGGAAACGCTAGTAACCCGAGACCAGTGGTACGTGAAGCTAAGTCAAGCCCTTAGACGGGAGAAAAGCAAAAACAGAGACCGAAAGCATTGTCCTCGTAATCCCTGATGAAATCAGTTCTCAAAAGAATCGACCAATTCGGGAAGCTGATAAAGGACGCCCCGGCCCCCGTAGTTCGTAGACTGCTGACAGCAGCAAGCCACTCTCCCGCGATCGCTGCCTCAGCATCATAAATGTGCCTGACTCAACCAAAAACACTTCAGCCGAGAGAATTTTGGATGATCAAGTGTTTATTCAACGAATGGGTTCCTTACTGTTCGATGAGAGTGAGCAAGGTATAGACATTGTCTTTGTCTTCCATCTCGGTAGAAAACTAGTGGAAACCTCCAAGGTCCACCCCCATAATATTGTGTCAAAATGAATGTTGACGTATCCCCCGACGCACCGCGCGTCTCAGAGGTAAGGTTCTGCGTGACCTCTCTCCAGAGGATAGGGTAAAATGTGGACAGCGGTTGATGAGCTTGGAACCCGACGAGCGAATGGCAAAACTGATCTCCCCATTGTGGATTTTCGTGTAAGCCGGAAGACAAAACGGTCTCGTTGGTGACCGGTACTCATCATGCTCGAACAGTAGCGTCGAAAAATGGACTGCGCGTACTCTGCCAACTAGTGCAGTCTACGGAATAAACTGGATGAGAATTAATTGCTTGCTTCTAAGAACAACCCGGGTTTGATGGCTTTTGTGGAGACCTGGTTATCGTGGACATTCCGGGTACCACCTCTCCAGAGTTGATTGACATGGAATAAGGTTGGGTGGCGGCGTGATCCTCCATTGGAAGGCGAGCCCCAAGGCCCACTTGGTTGAAACTCTTTGTAGTGTGTATGAAGACTCTGAAACCCTCTGATGTCGTATTCATGATGGATGCAGACCTTTCATGTCTGGTGTTGCCTACAGGTCCCCTTTAGGATTTGGAGCTCGCCTCTCAAAATCAATTAGAAAGTACGGAAGATGCAAGGAATGCCTAATGGTGGGGGACTTCAAGGTCCTTGATATTGATTGGGACTTACTCCACTGTGACCACCCTCCAGTCTCCTTCACTGCTGCTCTCCTGGAAGCCGTTCTCGACCGCAAGTGAGTTCAGCATGTCATGATGCCTAGGAGAATGGTTACTGGCCAGACGGCCCGTGTCCTTGATCTCACGTTCGCCCCGTTACAGTCTGATATGGTAAACCTGACTACTCTTCAACCTATCGGCAAAACCGATCATTGTACCCTCTCATTTCAGTTGACTCGAGGTCAAGATTAAGGCGGCCGCCGTCGGAACTTCTGGCGTGCAGATACTCAGCGCCTGACGACTGCTGTAAGCGTACCGATTGGAACATCCCTGATGGCTTGGACCTGGATGCAGCGTGGAACCTTTTGTACAACAAAATGATGTCACTGATCGAGATGGTCATTCTAGTCAAGAAAGAAAAACCCTTCGCCAGAGGTCCACTCTGGATCGATCGTGAATTGGGGTCCCGGATGAACAGGAGACGGAGTTCATGAGATCGTTTTAAGGTTGCCCAATCGGAGCGTGACTACTCGAGCAACAAAACACTTAGAAAGCTCTGTATCACACAGAAGCGTAAGAAACGGCAACTTTAAGAAACCTCTTTAGCTGTACAATCCAGAACAACTCTCAAGGTGCTCTTCTCCTAACTGAAAAAGTACCAAAACTGGTAGTGGTATACCCACCCTGTACTCCACTGACTAAGTTGCCTTAGTTCACGAAGACGTCGTGAAAGCCAGCCTCCTAGCCAGGCAGTATTTGTCTGTCTACGCTATCGAGACGCCGTTCTCTAATGATATTGTAACCACGCTGCCATCTCTTCTGGGGCACGCAGATATGAATGTAGATGATATCAAGAAGCTCCTACTTCAGCTAGACCCGTGTTAGGGGACACAGACCCTAACGAGATCGATCGAATAGAGCGTTCAGCATTCCGACTCGAAGATGATTCACTTGGCTCATGGTCGTGATCTTGTTTCAACCAGTGAGTTTTACACATTTACAGTTTCAAGGGCATTGCGTAGAAGGACTTTATAAACTAATAGAATTGTCTCCAATGTACCTCGTTTTGTTTTCTCGCAAGAGTGTTCTTTGCCGACATATCTCGACTTCTGTTCTGGGCCGAAGGTTTGGGTTTTAAAGGTCGGTACGTTCGCGATACATAGAAGACCACAACAGATATTTCTGGCGAGGGAATACAGTGGTGTATAACTCCCAGAGGTCACTTTCAATAGAAGAGCTCACCTTGATCCTGCAGCAGCAAAAGAAACTATGTGAGGAATCACAGGCGCGGATGATCGAAATGCAGTCGCAGAAATTTAATGTTCAATTACCCACAACTTACAGAAAGCAGTCATCCGTTGATACAATTTAGGAAGTATCACAGAATTCAGCTATGATCTAGACGCCGGATGCACTTTCGAATCTTGGTTCAGGAGGTATGAACATACACTCCGAACAGAGCTGGCTGATACGGATGATGACTGGAAATCACGGTTGCTTCTGTGAAAGCTTGGGACAAAGGAACACGAGAGATTTGTGAATATTATTCTTCCTAAAAGTGCGAAGGATTGTAAATTTGACGAAATCGTTGCACTGTTGAAAGAGATTTTTGAGGAAGCGTCCTCTACTTTTAACGTGCGGTATTCCTGTTTGAAACTTGTCAAAAGTAACTGTGACGATTTTGTGTATTATGCGACCACGATTAACCGTCAGTGTGAGCGGTTCAAGCTTAAGGAAATCACAAAAGACCAATTCAAGTGTCTGGTATTTGTCTGTGGAGTTCGATGGCCCCGTGACTCAGAGATCCGCATTCGCTTACTCAGTAAGATGGAGCAGTATCCTAGCATGTATCTGGGATGTTATTTCTGAGTGCCACCGTTTGTTGAACCTGAAACACGATACAGCCATGATTGGACGAGAAGCAGTCCCCGGCTCCAGTAACGCGCATGCTGTGACAAAAAGTACCTCAGCAAAGCCCACTAATTCCTCTAGAAGCGACACCTATAACAAACTCCCCAGAGCCTGCTGACAAAATGGTGGTTGGCATGTCCGACTGTGCCAATACAAAAAGCACCGCTGTCAGAAATGTCAAAAACGAGGACACAAGAAGGATCATTGATGCGCAAACAATGGAACACTTCCGAAGACCCAGTCCAGCCAGTTCAGAAATGCTGGACAAAAATCTATGGACGCAAAACACTGGCGTATATATGTGATTGTGCATATCAACAAAACTCCTGTTCATCTCCAGCTTGATATAGCATCTGATATTACTTTATTGTCACCAAACAGATGTAAGATGATCGGTCTACCTCCACTAAAGTCGACCGATCGCATAGCGCTGAAAGCTTCCGGTGGAGTCCTGAAACTCACAGGTGAACTTTTGTGTTCTGTGTTTTCCAATAATGTGCAATTCTGAGCTGTGTGTTACCTTTCTAATCGACCAAACCTAAAACTTTTGGGGCTTGACTGCATCGCTAAACTTAGGCTTTTGAACGTCCCACTTAATAGTGTGCAATCACTTGTGTGTTCAGTCTGTGATCAATCCTCCTGGGAATGTTTTGTCAGAGCGTTTGCGTCATAAATTCTCTCAAACATTCCGGGATGAGCTTGGTTGCTGTACGAAAACCACGGCAGTATTGTCCCGCCACCCCCATGCAAAACTTGTCTTCCGAACCAAACGTCCAGTGCCATATGCGGCATTGTGTATTGTATTTAACACTTGCCCAATAAATATTTGGCAGAGTGCCACAACACATGAGTAACAATAACAAAAAAGAAAGTGAGTAGGAGGAATGGAAGCAAAGTTCCATGTGCGGCGTTACCAAGCGTTGATCAGGAATTGGAAAGAGTGCAACAGGTCGGCATCCTTAAACCTGTGAATTACTCTTCATGGGCTGCTCCTATTGTGGTGGTCGATAAACTAAATGGGAAAGTCTGAATTTGCGCAGACTTCTCCACTGGTTTGAATGCTGTTCTGGAAAGTCACCAATATCCGTGGCCTCTGCCGGATGATTTGTTCGCAAGGCTAAATGGTGGCAAATATTTCACCAAACTGGACTTGTCGGATGCATAACTCCAAGTGGAAGTTTCTGAGGATTCTCAAGAGCTGCTGACCATCAATACTCACCGCGGCCTTTTTCGATACTTCCGCTACCATTTGGAGTAAAAACGGCACCTGCCATATTTCAACAGGTCATCGACACCATGTTACAGGACGTCTCATCTGCTGCAGCATATCTGGACGATATCATTATCATGGGCACTGAGCAGAGGGATCTAGAGAACCGGATTGAAAACGTGCTTGAACGAATCCGAGATTATTGCTTTCGAACGAGATAAGAAAAGTGCACCTTTTACATAGATTCCGGAATATACTTAGCATTCATCATAGGTCAACAAGGCCGATGACCAGAACTTGCAAATAATGAGGACTTAAAGAAAATGCTTCCACCACATGATGTGACGACGCTACGATCCTTCATGAGATTACAAAATCACTACAGTGCATCATACCCAGCAATGCATGATATACGAGGTTCCCAAAAGGCATTACCTCAGATACCAAGTGGTGTTAAAGCAAAGAAGGCAGTCAAGCTTTTAACAGGATCAAAACCATGCTATTGTAGACCAGCCACTGTAAAACGGCTCCAACGGCAGTTTGTGATGCATCAGTCCTGAGAACGAGAGGTGCGTCAGCATCGGTTCTCATGTGGCTAAGCGCGGTGGCGTTGGATAATGCCTGCTTGAGCTTATCGAATGCCACAGTTGCTTCTGCTGTTGACTCAAACTTACGTGATTTGTCTTTAGGTAGATCCGTCAGAAGCTGAAACAGACGGGAACAACCTGGAACGAAAGGACTGTAAATATTGACCATTCCGAGGAAACGGCGCAAACTTCCGCATTGGGTAATCCGCGATTGTCTGCGTCTTTTCGGGAAGTGGGCTAATACCATTGTGGTCGATTCGATGACCGAGAAAAGCGACACGGCATTGGCCGCTAATACAGGTGTCAACGTTAATCGCCACGCCATACTGAGTAGAACACTCGAAGATCAGACGGAGATGTGATAGGTGTTCCGCATCGTTCGAACTGGTGACGAGAATGTCGTCGATGTAGGCGAATACTAAATCTAGCCCTCTAAGGATTTGAACAATGAACCGCTGAAAAGTCTAGGCAGCGTTTAGCAATCCGAAGGGCAGACGGACAACTTCATAGAGACCGAAGATGGTAGTAAAGCCGGTTTTCGGAATGTCGTCAGGAGCAACAGGAATGTGATGGTATGCACGAAGTAGATCGATTGTGGAGAAAACAGACTTGCCGTGCAAGTTGCTAGAAAAAGCATGGATATGGGGAATCGGGTACCTATCGAGAACAGTGACACTTTTGAGCGCCCAGTACTCGTCACGTGGTCTCCAATCACTGGTCATCTTGGGCACCAAATGAAGCAGAGGTGCCAAGCAGCTTTTGGAAAGGTAAATAATTCCGAGGTTAAGCATGTGTTCGAACACCTACTTGACCGCTTGTAGTTTGCCCGGTGGAACGCGTCTTGGCTTGGTAGACACAGGAGGACCAGTTGTGACGATATGATGACAGATGTCGTGCTTGGGCTCCAGAGTGCCCCCATCTGCTCTAACTAGAGAGGGAGAATGCTGTAATAATGACGAGTAGCGCGACTCTTTAAGCAGAAGTACTTGAAGCATGATGGAATTGACCGTAGCGAGTTGTCCGGAAACAGTCAGCGACGTAGCACTGTCACGCAGCTTGCCACAACGCAGGTCTACGACCAGGCTGGATTCAGTGAACAAGTCAATACCAATGATGGGCTTCTGTACATCCGCAATCAGGAAGATGAAAGGGAAATTACGCCGTAATCCAAGAGTAAGCGTGAGCAGTCTCTGGCCATACGTCGCGATTTTGGTTTGGTTAATCGCCTGTAAGCGAATTCCGGTTGGTCGCAGAGCGCGTTTTTCCAAGAATTGAGGAATAACACTTACCTCCGCACAAGTATCAACCAAAAAGTGAAGTTTGGTGGTGAAATCGAAAACGTACAAGATGCGACTAATGGTTTGACCAGCAGCAGCCGTCGCCACCATTGGCTGGCGTCGTTTCCCTGCCGAGAATCCAAAAACGTCTTCAGGTATTCACAACCTAGACGAGAATTGCGAACAGCATCACCGAAACAGCGGTGGAAGTAGCAATATGATCGTGATCGCTTGGTGCGGGATTGACTACGGCGTTTACCCCTTGAATCTACAGTTAGCAGGCCGCTCACGACCGATGTGAGACACAGCAAGTGCTAACCGAGAGAGCCCTTCACTAATAGCATCAAGTGCAGTACTTCCAGATGGACTAGTGGTGTTCAGTTCAGTTACATTATTCACAGCAGATCTAAAGAACCACTCATGGACTTTGTCGGCGGCTTCGGCTAGTTTGTGCAATGGAAGTACATCAACGAGGACTGCTACTATCGCTGTGGTGTTTAATGGAAGGCACTAAGTCCAAAGTTGTCGAAGTATGGAATGGTCCAGGGTCGAGGAAACCATATGTGACCGCACGTGCCAGAGGAGCTGAGACGGACTGCCTGAAAGTGGCAGTGACATGCCTGAAAGTGGAATGTGGAGCCGTGCTTCATCGGAAGCCGCAGTGCGCTTTAGGATAGCTGATTTAAGTTTGTCATACGGCGATTCAGTCGGCATCGGATCAAGACTGTCAATCACCTCCGAGGCTATCTGAGACGGAAGATGAGAGGTGGGGTATGAAAACATGGATGATTGCGAAGTTATCTTACGAAATCCGAAGATGGCCTCCACCTGAATAAACCAAACACGAGGCTTTGAAACATCAAACGTGGGTAGAGAAAAACCAATGGAGTTTTTACACGGTTCATGAGGAGCAGCGTAGTCAGATAGTAAGAAAGAAAAAAGGAAAGAAAAGCAATTAAAAACAACTAAATAGATGTGGTCACCAAATATAGTGAAGATGACCCTAGTGTGGCTGCTCGTAGTCAGGTAACAATTGGGAAAAATCAGCAAACCAGTCCATTGGTACGAACGCAGAAACCGAACACTGATCCTCAAGCGGAGATCCGACGACCGATGCGAAGCACACACACAACAACCCACAGCAACACAATGTCATTGAAACCAGAAGACGGAGCGTTTGGTTGTACAATGTGGGAAAAAATACTCTTCAGGCGGGAGCTTTGCAGTACAAATTTGGCGTACGTCAGGTCAGGTTCCAGGGACGATACAGGCCTACGCCTAACGA